ACTTAAAAATTATTTTTCTCATAATTAAAGAATTAAAAAGAAAAAGCTCAGCTGCTTGTACCCATCATCCCCATCATCCCGAATCATCCCTCACCTAAGCTTTGTTTCTTTCTTTCTCCTCTTTCTCTGTTTGAATCCATCTGCAATTGAAAATATTGGATTCAAGCAAATCCCAGATTACAAAAACCCTAATCCTATGTGATCTTCAACGATTTAATCCTACCCTTCAAATCAAAATCTGAAATTTATTCAAAACTCAATCATGAATTCATCATTATCTCAACCTTAGAAAAAAGGAAAGGAAACGAAAGAAAGAAGCCACCTTTTCTTCCCGTTGCAGTCTCATCAAAGCCAAAACAGTATCCCTCCTGGGAGAGGAAGAGAGACACGGAGATTGGAGAAATAAAGGGGAAATGCCAAGCGTAGCCGTGAAGTTGTACAGTGTGTTCTTTAAGTTCTTGTTGAAGCATCGTTTGCAGAACCGGATCCAAAACCAGGCGGAAGACACTGCGAACCCTTTCGGGGTTACTACCAGACCGGAAGAATCGGTGGCGGCCCCGAACCCTTCTTTCACCGATGGCGTCGCCACCAAGGATATCCACATCGACCCATTTACATCTCTCTCTGTCCGGATCTTTCTACCCGAATCCGCTTTATCCCCGCCGGAGCTATCTGAGCCAAAATCTGGACCCAGATCCGTTCAGTCTGATAACAACTTTTTGAATTCGAGGAGAAACAGTTACGGTCCTCCCAATTTGGGTGTCACGAAAGAAGATTCTAGAAGAAACAGTTTCGAGGCTGTGAACTTGAGATCCGAGAATGTGTACCGAGGTTACTCGCCCTCTGTGCAGAATTGCAGGAAATTGCCGATTATGTTGCAGTTCCATGGGGGTGGGTGGGTCAGTGGCAGCAACGATTCGGTCGCCAATGATATCTTTTGTCGGAGGATTGCGAAACTGTGTGATGCTATCGTGGTTGCTGTGGGATATAGGCTGGCGCCGGAGAATAGGTACCCTGCTGCATTTGACGACGGGTTGAAAGTGTTAAATTGGCTGGGGAAGCAGGCGAACTTGGCAGAGTGTAGCAAGTCTATGGGGATCTCCCGAGCAGGTGGGGTAGAGTCTAAGAGGTTAGATGGACACCGGTATGTTGTGGATACTTTTGGGGCGTCCATGGTAGAGCCTTGGTTAGCGGCACATGGGGATCCCTCAAGGTTAATTTCGATCTTAATTATGTTGCTGTTGCCTGTCCATGTTTTTATTACAGTGAGGGTTTGTTTCCATTAGTTTTGATATGTGTTCTTTGCAATTGAATTGAGTTACTTATTGATTTGGTTGAAAAGAGTAGGAGTTTTGGAATCACCTTTTGATAAAGGGCCATTACAAGTTTATATTGCTGCATTTCTCAGTAGAGTAGGGGTGATTGAGGTATATTTGTAGTGTGCTTTTGTGTGCTTTGCTTATGCTCTATCTTATGTGTTAATGAGTAGGAGAGAGAAATTGCAGTGAGTATACTAAAGACATTGTAGTTTTGGACGAATTATTCTGATTTTAGATTCACAACTTATATGCTCTTAGATTATAGTGTTTTGCTTGAATGATTTTAACTTCTTGCATACTCACCTTGGTTCATGTTTATGGTTTTATGTGTTGCTGTTATCCTATAAGTTGGGGTTGTGGTGCTGTAACCATTTGATAATGGGCAAAACGAAGCTATTTTGGTATCTGAAATCAATTTTGGTAATATAAATGATAAGTTCTTTTAGAAGTTATCTTGTTATCTGGTCTTTGGTGTTGGTTCAGATACATTTTTTTTTTTCTTGTCATTGTCTGTTAAAGCTGCTGACTTGGCAATAGTATCAGGTTGTACCTTAATGAAATGTGTAATACATCAGTTTTGTTTGTCATCACTTGTGGGTTTTGCATTCTGTGATGTGTGAAGATACCATGTAGAAGCTGAAAATTGATCTTTACTAGCCCATAACTTGAACAATGTGTGCTTCACAGGCACGGGCAACTTATGTGTGCATGGAGATTCTTCTGATATATAACTTAGTTAAGCTGGGAAAAAAAATAGAACTTTAACATATATGCAACCTGGCCTATGTACATAAAATGACATGTAGTTTGATTTGTTGTATATATTGATTTGGTACTGTCACTATAGAAAGGTCTTACAACTTATGTTTTAATCTAACTAATGTTGAGTTTCACTGTGATCTTAATCTGTGACTATATATATGTGCAAGTGTTATTGGGTTTTACTTTTACCTCCTTGAAAGTGGAAAATTTCAAAGTTATACCTAAACCATGGACTTGCTGATTCTGAATCCGGCACCCACCTTTTATGTCCTTTGTCTTGCCGCAAAACCCTTTACATGAAGTTTTTGCTGCAGTTACTAATTTCCTATCTTGTTAAAACAGATGTGTTCTACTTGGGGTGAGTTGTGGATCAAACATTGCAGACTATGTGGCTCAGAAAGCTGTGGAAGCAGGCAGCCGTCTGGACCCTGTTAAAGTTGTCGCCCAGGTCTTGATGTATCCATTTTTCATAGGAAGTGTTCCCACACATTCTGAAATAAAGTTGGCAAACTCTTACTTTTTTGACAAAACCATGTGTATACTTGCATGGAAACTCTTTCTGCCTGAGGAACAATTCAGCCTGGATCACCCAGCTGCCAATCCTCTTGTCCCAGGCAGGGGGCCACCTCTAAAGTTCATGCCACCAACATTGACGGTGGTAGCAGAACATGACTGGATGAGAGACCGAGCAATAGCTTACTCAGAGGAGTTCCGGAAAGTAAATGTTGATGCACCTGTTCTTGAGTACAAAGATGCAGTCCACGAATTTGCAACCCTTGACATGCTTCTAAAGACCCCTCAGGCCCAGGCCTGTGCTGAGGACATTGCCATATGGGTCAAGAAATACATTTCAATTCGAGGTCATGAGTTCTCTTATTAGGCATGAAGTATCAAATTCAAAAGAAAAAGGAATTCATGAAAGAAGATTTCTATTGCACAGTTAGCAACAATTTATGGATGGCTGCCATTTCGTGTGGATTTGGGAAGATGTATTGTATTTGTCCTTCTAGCTATTGCAGCTGCTGGCTGTTCGTCAGTTCTCATGCTTTCCCCCTTTCTCCTGTTTTACATTTTTGTAAGATAGAACTTTTCTCGGAGTAGATTAGTGCGTTGTGACTTGTGAGATGAAATTACCTACGGTATGAATACTGCACCCTACTTTCGGATGCTAACAGAACATTTTTTCCCTGTGTATTAAAACATACTATTTCTCATGAATAGAGGTTTTCATTTTTTTTTTTCCCCATAAATCAAGTTAATCAAGTTTAATCCTCTCATATCCCTCTTGTTTTTCAGCTTAGATTGTTTGTTTACTTTAACAATGTTCTTTGCAATGCTTAAAGCAGGAAGGCAGGAGAGGAGATGGGGATGTTGCCTTTATTCATTGTGGCAGATGGCTATGGTAATGGCATCACCATATCTGAAGCCAGTTTTCCTGTGAGCTGTTTTGGTTGCTGGACTGTGGAGGATTCATGATGAACAAGGACATCTCGTTGTTCTCGACACATCGTAGCTACTTAGATTGGATAGGTTTGGTAGGCAGATAAGATGCAAAACTTTAAAATTCAGAAATCCAGACGGAAGCAACTTGTGTCATGCTTCTCGGTAGGGCTTGTATGTTGTCGGAATCTTACTTTGTTTTGCCCTATGTTTTAACAAGAAATAATTGTATCTTTTTTCTTCTTTTTGAAATTAGAATTGAAATCCCCTCATTTCATTATCTCATGTATAAATATCTATACAAGGCAGTATAATTCCCCTGGGGCATCACTTGATATGCTGTAATGTCTTGGCTCTTATCCTTTTCTCGGATATAACCAAGCCAATGATGCAGATTGCAGAATGCAGAGGCTGAAGCTGAGTTTTTAAAACAAATGCCAACCCGGCATGCCCCCCTTGAGGGAGAGAGAGTTACGTGGTAAATGAAGGCCATGGTCACCATGTTCACAATCCTGGGAGATTACCAATCATCCCATTTCTTCCATTGTAACTACTGTTACCAATTTATGAGAAAGCATGAATAAGTACTGAAAAGAAAAGTCTTGAAGTGTTGTACCTTGATATATATCTTCTTCAACATAAATCCTTGTAGAGTGAGGAAATAATTAGTAGTCCTTTTAGTGATGGTTATGCCTGTTGATCCACTTCAACTACTTTTGCGAATGGTGAATGTATGATTATTAACTTTGCACCAGTCAATCCCAGATGATAATCTCTTGCAACTTCCACCAAATTTTCCTTACCATTGGTGATGTCAAACAAACGATCCATCTTCATCATTTCAGCAAAGTTTGGTGTATTATTTTTACAACCTTTGAGGAAAGTGTTTGTTTTAAGGAAAATGAAAATTTTTTCTGGAAAAATCTCTGCTGAAATATTTGGGAAAATACTTTTTTTTTTTTTTTTTGTCTCTTCTCAAGTTATATAAAATTAAGGCTACAATGAAAAATAGGGTTTCAAAATGAATTTACATTATTAATTTTAAAATATTATACAAGCAACATAAATCCTAGGTTAAATGCTAAATTTGGTCCCTCAACTTTAATGAGTTGCACATTTTTGGTTCTTTAACAATTTTTTGCACTTTTTTGATCCCTCAACTATACAAAATGCACTCTGTTAGTTTTTCTGTCAATTTGGACTGTTAACTCAGCGACATGAAATTTTTTATTTTTTTTTTATGACATGGCGAGCACAACTTAAAAAGGTGCTGATTTAAACTCTTTTTTTTTTTATGACATGTCATCTTCTTCATGCCGAAGCCCCTCCAATGGATCCCACGTTGCCTGCAAACTGGTCTCTCATCTTTACTCTCTACAAAATCGATCTTAAGCCATTTCTTCTTATTCTCTGAATGCTCTCTCATCTCCACTCCATCTGCAAAATTGAACTTAACTCATTTTTTCTTCTTTTGTGAATACTCTCTCATCTCCACTCCATCTATAAAATCGATCTTAACCCATTTATTCTTCTTCTCTTTTGTCAGGGGAACTTGAGTTACTGGGTTTCATTGAAACCTGAAACTTGACAGATCTTATCAAATCAAATTAAACCTTCAATAAACAATACCAATCAAACTCTAATCGAATTCCAACAAAAATACAATCAAACTTTAATCAAATTCTAACAAAAATGCAATCAAATTGTAAATCAACCCCCAAATTTATTAACAACTGGGAATGGAAATCAAAAGAAAAATGAAAAACATGAACCCAGCAAAGCTGGGTTCAACGGAACTCAACCTTGCTGGGTTTGAAGAAACCCAGATTTGCTAGGTTCCGATGAACCCAGATTTGCTGGGTTCCGATGAACCCAAATTTGCTGGGTTCCGATGAACCCAGCCTTAGTTGATCGATGAACTTAGCAAACGATGAACCTAGCAAAGCTGGGTTTCGTCGAACCCAGCCTTGGCTGGTCAACAAACCCAGCAAGGCTGGGTTTCCACCGAACCAACAGTTGGGTTTCCACCGAACCCAGCAGTTGGGTTCGACGAAACCCAGCCTTTCCCAGGGTAGGAAAGAAAGAAAGAAAGAGAAAGAAAAAAGGGGAAGAAGAGGGATTGTGAGGGTGAGGGTAATAAGGTAGTTTTATTTGTTTTTAATTAAAATATACATATTAATCTATGTGGTATTTTTATTTATTTATATAACATAATTATAATATATATTATTACCACATCATCAAAAAAATTAAAAAACAATGCCACATGAAATTATTTAACTGTCACATCATACTTAATTGACTCAGGACCAAAACTGTGCAATTTTTAGAGTCAAGGGATCAAAAAAATGTAAAAAATTGTTAAGGGACCAAAAATGTACATTTCATAAAGTTGAGAGACTAAATTTAGCATTTAACCTAAATCCTATTCATTTATATAATATTCTAAAATTATATTATAACAATTGAAAAAATAAATTATACATCTTATAGTTATAACTATTTACAAGAGGCATGTCTCTTAAGATTAGACTATCCCCTTCCATTAATTACCATAAGCAAAACAGTAATCTTTTATAACAAAATGAATCAATTTATACTTAAGCTGTTACTCAACTTAGACTACCATTGCTTTGGTCCTTGCTCAGGCCCGAAGTCCCCTGACGTTCCATTTTTCAGATCCGACCCGGATCCGTAAAAACCATCCCCGTCAGGCCGTTACACACTTTTCCTTACTTTCTCTTTCCGTTTCAATTAAATCAATCAACTTTCAGTTTCCTCATTCGGACCAAACTATCCGTCACAGCGCCTTCCACGCTCTCTGTTCTTCCACTTTCGTCACAGACAACTTTCCGGCGGGGTTGTCTCTTCGCATAATACTTCTAGTAACTTCCATGCATATCCATCGGATCAGTTTGCTTAGTTTTAAGCCTTGAAGTAATGCTGCTTAACTGTAGCTTGTTCCACTAGTCTTCATATTTTTTGTTTTTATGCTTACTTTAAGCTGAATTTATGGAGTTGATTTTTTTGTTGAGTAGATGTACTATAATTCAGCTGCTTGCTATTTTCTTTTTAAATGCTAATGCTTTTTGCTAGAATCTTGCAAGTAATATTGTTTAATACGGCTTAATCTAGTTAAATTTATGTACTTTGTTTACCTGCTTCACTGTGGTTGTGATTGTCTCCGAGATTTGAAATTCTTGCTTAGTTTTTTTTTTTTTTTTTTTTTTTTTTTAATAGGATCAATCCTAATTTCTGATTGGTTTTGTTGCATCTTCAAGCTTGGAAGTTGGGATGTAGAAAAAAGTTGACCTTTGTTACTCTAATTGTTCCTTGCTGTTGTTGAGAAATTGAGATTTGATTCAAGTCTAATTCTGGATTCGTTTTGTTGTGCTTTAAAGGGTGAAATATTTTGTGTTCGTTGGAGATTATGGATGGGGAGACTAAATATGATGAGTCAAGGATGCTGGGTTTTAGACCCAGCTTCAAAGCGGTGACTCTTGTAATTGTTGCCATTTGGATTGGCATTACTGCGTTGTATGGCTTATTGAAGCCTATATCTGATGGTTGTATAATGACATACATGTATCCAACTTATATACCAATTTCCTCGACTGGGGAGGCGTCCTCTGCAAAGTATGGATTGTATTTGTACCATGAAGGTTGGAGAAAGATTGACTTTCATGAACACTTAAAGAAGCTCAGTGGTATACCTGTTCTTTTTATTCCAGGGAATGGTGGTAGCTACAAACAGGCAAGATCTTCCCCTTATTGTCATCATTAATTTTTTTTTTCCCCTTTCTATGGTGTAGTTTATTGAATTCATTAGCTATCTCAACAAGTGACTAGCCCCATCAGCCATCTCTTCTTTTTTTGTAAGATCTATCTTTTCGGGCAATCTTCTTGACCTCTGTAGCTTTTGATTATTCAGCTCTCCATATAGGTTCATTGGAGGTCTTGTTATAATGGGCTCTTCAGAAACACCATTTTCACGTCTTATGGAGTGAATAATTGGGAAAACTGAGTACAAATATAATATTTCTCTCCAGAATTGTTGGTATTACTGTGGATTTTACAGGGGGCATTGCTATGTTTTGATTTTATTTTCTCATATTATATTGGGTAGGGATGCTAGCTTATGTTCTGACAGTGTTAGATGTGAAATGTTTCCATCCCAACAAAATCCATAGTAATGTTATATATATTTGGTAATTTATGGAGATCAAAATGAATTTATGGAACTAATTAGTGTCTCCAATTTAGGGTATTTCTCTTCATAAATTTCTTTTGTTTCTTGTCCTCCTCACAGGTTCGTTCCTTGGCAGCTGAATCTGATAGAGCTTTTCAAGGAGGCCCATTTGAGCGTACATTCTATCAGGGAGCTTATCTAGCTCCTGAGGTGGGAAGAGCAGATATGTATATAGCTTCCTTTCAATTACCCAATCAATACAGTTACAGGTTAGACTGGTTTGCTGTGGATCTTGGAGGTGAACATTCTGCAATGGATGGGCGGATACTTGAAGAGCATACTGAATATGTTGTGTATGCAATTGACAGGGTATCACTTTCTTCACTCTTATTTCATTTCTCAAATAGATTGGAGCTTGAGTCTTAAAAAGGCTCTCTTTTTTTTTCTTTTTTCTTTTTTTTTTTTAAGTTCTGGTTCTTTTATTTCACTTCTGGTTTCTGCATTAATAGAGCATGCCATTCTTGCAGATTTTGGATCAATACAAAGAATCCCGTGGTGCACAAGTAAGAGAAGGTGCTGCAGGCACTGGAAGTTTGCCAAACAGTGTCATTTTAGTTGGTCACTCTATGGGTGGTTTTGTTGCTAGAGCTGCAACCATCCACCCTTGTTTGAGGAAGTCAGCTGTTGAGACTATTCTCACTCTTTCATGCCCCCACCAGTGAGCACTAACACTTCTCTTGTGTTATTTAATTTCAATTTTTTTCTTTCTTAATAAGAATTTCCCCTATTTTGCCCAGATTACCCCCTGTGGCATTGCAGCCATCCTTAGGTCGCTATTATGAAAGTATAAATGAGGAATGGAGAAAGGGATATGAGGTCCAAACCTCTCGGACAGGACATTATGTGTCTAGTCTGGCACTCTCTCATGTTGTTGTCGTCTCTGTATCTGGTGGTTATAATGATTACCAGGTATATGTTTTTGAATTCTGTCATGCAGATACATGCTTGATAGTTCTTGAAAATTTTTCGTTATGTGTAAAAATGGTCTGTACGAGCTTACTGTTACTATTTAATTGTGTCAAGCTTCAAAAGTTTGAATTTTTCTGAATCTTGCTCCTGCATACCTTTCGAGTGTTATCTTTGGAGTTGGCATTCACAGTTCTCTTTTAGTTTTGATGTGGTTAGTTAACAGCATATCTGGAATAATTAGCTTAATGTAATTTCTAAGAAATGATTATACAATAGTTATATTCTCCCTTGCTTTGTTACCTATATGATGTCCATTTCATGATCACATTTAGGTGTTGGATGTTTAGATTACTTATAAGGAATAAGAATGTATCCTGATAGGGAATAGTTTTGGAAGCTGTTGGTCTTTCTATAACAATATGTCTACCAGCACATGTTTTCTGATTTCTTAGTCATAGACTCATAGTTATCTTACATGTATGAGGGTATGCTTGTTGGTTTCTTTGTTTAATCTGGTTCTCCATATTCTGGATATTAGACTTAAATTGAAGCTTGTTTTTGCATACTTTTATTTCCATAATGCTCCAGCATTTTTCTTTCAAATTAGACTGACTGACACTTGGTCTTGCATACATCTTGACTTTTTATTTTATTTGACTTCAGGTCAGGTATGGTCGAAGTTGGAATCACTTGATGGCATTGTGCCTCCCACTCATGGTTTCATGATAAGTAGTACTGGCATGAAAAATGTATGGCTTTCTATGGAACATCAAGCTATTTTGTGGTGTAATCAACTAGTTGTGCAAGTGAGTGAAATCTCCCTCTCATACTCAAGTTTATTCCATCACAGAGTTCTGATTATATTTTTTTCTCTATAGGTGTCACATACTCTCCTCAGTTTGATAGACTCCAGAACAGGTCAGCCTTTCATTGACACTCAACAAAGATTGGCAATATTCACAAGGATGCTCTGTTGTGGGATACCACAGAGTTTCAATTGGAAGATGCACTCACAGTCATCATGGTCAACCACTGTTCCTGTTAAGGATGTGAGAGATCCTTCTGGTATTACCTATCTGTACACATTGTTTTGTGACTGCATTGTTGATCTACTTATAAATTCAGTGAACTTTCTTGGAATGAAGATTTCTACTATTGTACTCTTTCTTCTATTGCATTAGATGAAGTATGTCTAGTGGTTGAAGTATCGCCCATCAACTAAGTGTGGGGTTTGTTGTGGCCTTGTTCAGGTTAGGTCTTTCTGCCTGTCACCTATTAGTTTTAGGTTGGATGTTTTACCATGGTATCAAAGCGTAGCCTGTTTGTTACCCCATTTAGTGTTTGTCAACCCAATTCTGTTGTCCATATGATAAGCCTGTTTGTTTGGGTTGTTCAATCAGGTTGCATGTGATGGGCAATGCTAAGTAGTCGTAACATCCTTAGTCAATTAGGTTTGAAGTTTGTTGTGGCCTTAGTTATGTTGGGCCTTTCCACCTATCATCAGCTGGTTTTAGGATGGATGCTCTTTGACAAAGTATATCAAAGCTTTCTTTAAGTTGTAGTACCTTAAATTTTATATGATATGTTGTATCATTGATTGCTTGATCACAACAAAAGTGCACATTTATGTTTTGACATGTCATGTTCGCAGGTTCTCAATTGCATGCTTTATTGGGTTGTCCTAGCAATGTCCACTGGAATGATGATGTTCTTGAGAGGGATTTGTACATTCAGACAACTACAGTCACTATTTTGGCCATGGATGGGAGGAGGCGGTGGTTAGACATTCAAAAATTGGTTAGCATTGTTAGAACTTAGAACTTATAAGTTTCCTTTCGACTGTCTTGGAAGAGATAGTTTATTTTATTTGTTTTCAATATTATTCCTGTAGCTAGATGTTAACAATTTTCCTTTTTTCTTTGATTACAATACAAAACTTCTCTAAAGTTATTCCCCTATTTGCTGTTGAAGAGAGAGCAATTTGTCTCATTGCCTATTATTATGCCTCTCCAGTTGCTCAGAGTTGATTTCTGTGTGTAGGGTTCAAATGGAAAAGGCCACTTCATCTTTGTGACAAACCTTGCTCCTGGTTCTGGGGTTAGACTTCATCTCTGGCCTGAAAAGGGAATGCAAAATTCAGATTTGCCTCCTAGTAAAAAGGTTCTAGAAGTTACATCAAAGATGGTACAGATTCCTGCAGGACCAGCACCAAGGCAGGTATTGTAAGCTTATTTGTTATTTCCTTTGGTGATGATGAATGCCTAAGTCCATCTAGTGTTTGTTCCAATGGCATCTTATAAACTTATAGCAGTTTTATGGAATCTTTTATGTGTAAAAATTTAATACATATGAAGTGGGAGGTTTAAATTCTTGTTACTGCAGAATATAAGCAACCTATTTTTTAGCTGACTGACATTCTTATTTTTGGATAAACTGTTGATCAGATTGAGCCTGGAAGTCAGACTGAGCAAGCACCTCCATCTGCTGTATTTCAGTTGCATCCTGAGGAAATGAATAGTTTTAGATTCTTGACAATCTCAGTTGCACCTCGTTCAGTATTTTAGCATTTCTTTCTTGATGATCACCCTTTTCTGCTTTTGGAAAACTGTATATCTAGTAGGAAGATATTTGTGGAAATAAATATCTAATTTTTATGCTCAAATTAGGGACAAACCTCCATTAGCATGTATATGGACCTATCAGAGGTCTCTTGTTATTTTTTTGGTAGCTTGTGCATTTCCTGTCTACAATTTGAAAGGCAGGTTCCATAGGGGTAAAGAGAGGACAAACCTAAATTCCTATACGAAATGATGGGTGTTATTAGATTCTTGTTATATAGAGTTTGCTTTTCATTTTCATTTTCTGGGTTCCTTAGGGATAAAAAGAGGACAAACTTAAATTTCTAGTTTTCTACTTTTAGTAATGATCATGCTCTTGAAACCTTATTACTCCTGGCTTATTTTCAATAAAGTTGTGATGTTCATTGCTGTATAAAAACACAATGTTGTCATTTCTTTTCAAATCCCCATGTTATGACACAAGGCTGTCATTTCAATTTCTGGACAATGGTTGTCAGTGCTTCCTTTCCTCATTAATAATTTGGAATTTGTAGGTTAACTTGTATGGCTAAAATACATGTTCCTTTTACTAGATTTTTGCTGTTGTTGTGGATGTTTTTTGAATTTACTGTTCTTCTCTTGTTTGATGTAATTGTTCCAAAAAATGGGTAATTCTGTGCAGTGACTTTGTGGTGCTCAGACTGTTTCAGGCCGACCTCCACCAGCCAATTCTATGGCAGTTGGGCAGTTCTTTAATCCAGGAGAAGGAAATGCAGAGTTCTCTCCTAAATTGATGCTTCTATCTGCCTATTCTTATATGGTAAGTATCTCTGTGATGCTACAGAGTTAAACTTTAGGAACAAGTCGGCCAGCTTGGTCTGGGATGCTAAGATGACTGACCTCTAATTGGTGCATTGCTTCAAATATTCCACAGGACATCATTTTGAAGGAGGATCATTCCCTTGTATTTAATTTTTCATTTGCAATTTGCTTAGGCCTATTGCCCGTTGCTTTGTCGCTGAAAACTGCAGGCTGTGGAATAAAAAATTCTGGGCTTTCTGGTGAAGAGACTGATGATACAGAAAACAGCAGTGAGTTTTATGCTAATTCATTTCTTAGTTCAATCTTGATGTTATTACAGGTTTTCCCTTTTGTCTTTTCTGCTGAAACAACTTGCATTCAACTCTAGGGCTTTGCAAACTACGCTGTTTCCCTCCTGTAGCACTTGCTTGGGGTCCTACATCTGGTCTTTATGTATTTCCAAATTTGTAGAGTGAGACTGTTGTTGTTGATTTCTCCCCAGCACTTTGGAGTTCTAATGGGTCAGGGAGGACCACTGTTCTGTTACTGGTAAGAAGTCATGTGAAAATGGTTTTCCTTTTTGAAACAAAATGATTTTTTTATTTTCTATTTTTTTTTTTTTAAATATTTAGTTCTTATGCTGTACAAAGCTAAGATCTCTCATTCCTGCCAATCTTGCAGGTTGATCCACATTGTTCGTACCAAACTAGAATAGCTGTTTCTCTCCCTGCAGCAGCAGGTCAATTTGTGCTTCTGTATAGTTCACAGGTGATATCCTAGATGTGAATGCCTTTCCCCATGTTTTTAAATATACTTTGTGAATAAGAAGCTATATTAAAATTGAGGAATTCCTCTCATGCAGATGGTTGGCTTCTCAGTTTCTGTTGTATTTTTTGCCCTAATGAGGCAAGCACGTTCACTGTCAATTCCATCTATACTGAAAGCTGTGGAGTCCAACTTAAGAATACCTTTGCCATTTTTGTTTTTATCCATTCTACCAATTTTGATATCCCTGTTCCTTTCCTACCTGATGTCTCAACCATTTCCTCCACTTTTGATCTTCACCCTAATATCAGTTATTTGCTACTTATTTGCAAATGGGTTCGTAATCCTACTGATATTGGTATCTCAATTGGTCTTCTATGTGGCTGCCTATTTACATGTCTTCATCAAGAGGAGGTTAGTTTATCTCTCTATCTTGTTGGCTGAACAAATAACTAGTGAGATTATATGCTTATAAATAATTTTCAACCAATATTTCAGATTATGAATCATAAAAAGTAAAGAGAATGTAAGAAAATAAATGGATAGAGTAACTAAAGGAAACAAAAGAAAACAACTCTTACTATGTATTTAGCTGATTTATATGGGTCATTAAGATGTATGATTTTTATTAGTAGATCTTGCTTACCAGTCATTTGTATATGGTAAGAGAAATGCATATCAAATTTTTTATGTATGGTCTTATTTTTTAAACATTAGGCTTAATCAATGGCAGGTGGCAACTCTGGGAAGGAAACTTTTGCTTCTCATATCTTCACTGGTTTGTTAATCTTTGTTCTGGTTTTCTTTCAATAAAGGTAAACTTTTGCCTCAGATAACAATAGTGCATTCATAAGGGGTACCACTTATCCAAAAGGGCTTCTGGAACAGTTTAGTGGTTGACAACTTCTATTCTTTCTTTCTAATTTAGTTTTTTCTTGCAGCAGTTTAGGCTTTGTCTTGCTGATTTTCTCTTTGATTTATTTGGAGAACAGGTTATAAGAGTTTTAAGGGCCAATCCATTATATGTTCCCACATCAGCTTCAATTATTCTTTCTACCTTTGTTCGTCCTGCCTTGGGCCTATTCATTCTCCTCTTATCTCATGGTTTATGCTGCCACAGATCACTCTGCAGGTATGTTCAAACAGTTCGACTTTCTCTTCTTGGCATTATATTGAATTCTTATGCATGAATTGTTAGGCTATGTAGGTGGACAACTCTATTCATCATATATTGCTTTGTGGAATGGCGTAGGCTGGTAGCATTTGCAACCACTTTGTGCGGACATTTGCATACATTTTGTTTCCCCTTATTGGAGTGAAAGTATCAAAGGTTAAATTAACTGAAATACTTTATGCTAGGCGATCGTAAGGGATGCTTCATTTTTGTAACAGTTCTTTGACAGCTTCCATCCTCACCCATGCATGGAGAAAGGAACTATCAGTTTACAAAACCCAAGGAAATTATTGCTCTCAGCAGTTTGCCCCCAAACCCGGATCATCTTCAAAAGAGAACAGCTCTAGTTATGGTCAAACACAAGAAGATATCTTTCACTACCAGCATGGCTCGCTGATCCTGCATCTTCTAGGTGCACTTATGTTTGTCCCCTCACTGATATCATGGCTGCAGGTATGGAATGTAGTTAAATTATCCACAAGTTGAGCACTGCAATATGTTGTCTGATTATGACTCCTGTCACAAGATATCAAGAATTTGACTTGTAGATTTCTAAACAATTTACCAAGTTGGCAATTCTGAGGTACCAACTGAAATTTCCTCAAACTGTTATTTTGTTTGCAATTGACTAGATCAGTATTTCTTTTGCTGTTGTCTTGCTTGCATCATGAGTCCTCTGGCTAACTGTGATAGATAGTGAAAAGAATGTTTCATCACATGCATTTAGACTTAATGGGTGCTAGCTATTTCTTGCTGACATTTAACTTTGGTTGAGCATGCATATATGCATTTAGGATTTAGATTTCAAATCACTAGTCAATAAGGCACCTTTTCCCATTGCTCTAATGGTTCATCTTTTTTTTATTTTAATTAATTGATCATCTTAGGACCTACTGTGTGATTGCAGGGAACAGGGATGCACCAGAGGTTTCCATGGTTCTTGGATTCATCACTTTGCATTTGTTTAATCCTTCATGGCATCTTAAGTTCAGAGCCTCTGTTTGATTCCTCTTTTTCCTTTCCCCTGGTTCTGGGTCAGGAAATTAGATTGAACTTTATCTACTGAATTGCTGGACTCTTTGCCTCTATCTCTGCTCTGGCATTGACACCATATAGAGTGTTCTACACAATGGGCACAATTGGGGTCATTTCCTTTGCTTTGAGCATCTCACAACAGTTGACAGGAGCACCCCGCTTTGGCAGAAGGAGACATTCACACAAGCGCTAAAAGAATTGCCTTTGAAAGATTATTCAAGCAGCCAATCTCAGGGTCCTAATTCACTCTCTTCTGCGAGATCATATCAGGGCTATGAGATTCATCCTGAGCCGTAATTTTCTCATGCAATCAATGGGACATTTGCTGACAGTTGCAAATGCATCGAAGAAAGAAAAGGGAACTGAGAACTTCTTGTTGTGATCTTAAATGGCCGGAGACTTTTTATGCAGCCACCACGCTATTTATATGGACATTGGACATTCATGATCATTTTAACTAACCCATATTTTGTTGTGAGAAGGAGATTATCCCCAGCTTCGTTTCCCAGAGACAAACTTTGTGTGTATAGAAAATTGCTGACATTGAGAGAAAGAAAAGGGAATGTGAGGATTCAATTCATGACTAAATTTCACAATGTATTTTGTTTTGCATGGAAAATTTGCTTGCACAAATTAACTATCCAAGCAAGCACCATTCATCATTCTGTGTGTTGCCCCATTTTTGTACATGATTACTGGCCCCTAGTACGAATATTAATGGCTCTGGAAGCCATAGCTCTCAAATTTGCTCTAGCCAAGGCAAGAGAGGCTGCTGTAGATTGCTCATGATTCCCCCTGAAAGACTGCATGAACTCCTCCCTCTGCAGCCTCAGAGCCAATGCAGCATCTGCATTTTGGTTTGGCGTCCCTCTCCTCCCTGAGCTTGTATTCCTACTTATCAACCGGGAAAGGTCATCTTCTCTCCGCAACCTTGCAGCCAATGCAGTATCTTCATCATCTTGGGTTGGTGCTCCTCTCCTCCTCAATCTTGTATCAACACCAGACTCCATGGGAGGATGCGAACTCCGAGTCCTTGCCCTTCTGTTACTGTGAGTTCGTCTTACCGGACTCTGAAGGTCACTCTGCTGGCCTCCGGTGGGCTTCCTTGATTCAACATCTTGTGGAAACAGCAGCTGTATTGTATTCCACAGGACTGTGTTTATGGTACAGGATCTTCCATTGCTGTATATCAAAGAAAGAAATAAGGTAAAATTCCCCACATTCCATGGAATACAAATAATGTCCTGAAAAACCACAGCCATGTTTTTTTTACCTTATTAGTTGCCTGCATTTTGGACATCTATTTCCACATTTATCCGCGGCAGATCGCAGACATTTCTTACAGAAACTACAAAATCAAAGAGAACTACTCAGAATTACTCGATCAAAGCTTTTCACCAAAAAAGATAAGATAATAAATATTTCCAAACAAATGGGAATTGGTTTTACCTATGTCCACATGGGGTAGTACTGGGTTCATAGCAGATTTCCAAACAAATCTGTCAAGAAAGAGAAACCCAATTGAATTTAATCTATGGAAGTTGAAACTATGAACAGAATAGACATTATTAGAGACTCTTACTGCACAAGAAAGCTCTTCTCTGAGTTTATCCAGACAAGGAAGGGCAGGATTGGAGCAAGAAACACCAGGAGCATCATTACTCTTTTCAACTCCTCCTGTCTTCTTCTTCTCTTCATTAACAACAATTTTATGTTCCTTTTCTTTTTTCTCGCTTTCTGGGTCATCAACAATATCGAGGAATCAGAACAATGTTAAAGAAATTGAATCACAAAAGGGAAAACCCAGATCCCAAAACAAAGAGAAAATTCTACTACCTTCTCTTGAATTATCTTCTTCGTCTAGCTTTAGTTTTAGAGGGGCAACAGGAGGAGTTGAAACAGAACACCTCCTCTGAACCCTGCGTTTCCTGAGAAACAGACCATGAAGACACATGATTGCTAAAAGATAAAAACATAGGCGAATACAGAGAACATCTCTAATAAAAATGCTGAAAAAGAATCTGATTTTGATCTTGTAAATTGGGATTGGGATCATTACCTTCTTGAATTGGTGGATGGGGTCTTGATCAACCGCAAATCGGAGCGTTTCTTGTGCTTCCCCACCCGATCGGGAGTGTCTTCAACTACAAGGCTTGCGACGATAAGCGCCTCCTCGTCCCAACCGGCCATGGCGGCGATGGATTTGAATCTGGGGCTGAAAAAACTCTCCGCATTTTGGTTTCTTTCAATCGGGCTTGATTGATTTGAACCATGAGGGCTTTCTTTCGGCTGTTCTATTACCATTTTCTTGGAGTCTTTCTGGGTTGTGCGAAGGAGAGGAAAACGCTTCTCTTTTTGAGTGGCAAGGATTATAGGAGGGCGAAAGGGTTGACCTGTCTTTTAACGGTCGAATTCTTTTGAATTTCGTTTGTATCTTTTAGTACTTTTCTAACGGCTATATTTCCCGGGCTTATTTGGAAGGACAATAGAGTAAGAAGAAAAAACAATTTTTTTTCTTTTTTCCTTTTTTTTTTAAAATTATTTTGTAATCTAAACTATACCAGATTGTAAAATAATAATCTTTAAATTGAAAAGGCTCACCATTTTAAGACCTTGTTTTACGGTTAATAGAGATTCTTTTTTTTTATTAAATTATTAGTTTTATATGTAAGAATTATGTTTTACAGTTTAAACTACGTCACATTATAAAATAATTTTGAATTGTAAAATATATATCATTAATAGAGAGAATCTCTTTTAAAGATTAGTGTTATATAATTTAATATAATTTAAACTGTATAACATTTTTACTTATTTTTTATTGGGTTAAAAATGAGCAAATAATTCAAAAAAGGAAAAAAAAAAAGGTGCTGCAAATTGCAATCGAGAAGTTAAGGAAAAATAAAAACAATTCAAAAAACAATTCACTTAAGGACATGGTCACGGGAGCATTGTTTAATTGTTTTTTTTTTTTTTTTATGTTGATTATATATCTAGAGTTAAATCTTTTTCAACCTTTATTTCTTTTTAACCCTTATCCCATCCCATTCGTATACTATGCAATTCGAATTTAAAATCTTTTAATTTTAACGAAAAAAAATTACCACTAAATTATTTAAGTTGTTGCGTTTGATTGTCTTTTTACTCTTTGGTTTGTGTTATTATGTACAAACTAAATGAATCAATGGGATAAACCAAATTCGATGCACAACATTAATTATTACATCATGATTAAAACAAAAAAAGGGAGAAACAAAAAACTACTACATTTTGTGTATTCTACTGATTATAGTTTTGTCTCCTCCTACTCTTCCTTCTAGCCTTTTAGTCTACCAAAGTATTGTTCTCTGCCTCTCCCCAATCTTCATATCCTTCTTGCCATGGCAGAAGGTGATTTCTAGGGTCGACAAAGTTTTGCAACACTCTATCCCTAAGCCCAGTGTCTCGAACCTCACAGAATCGGTTCGACCAATCTTGAGGCTCGATAGCTCTGGTTCCCAAACCTGGTGCTCGATCCTTGGACCGTACATTTTTTTCATCTTGCCAATCCGCCACATAAGTTGCCACTCTTCTATGAAACTTCTGCTTGAACACTTCCCACACTTGGTACTTGTAGTGGTTCACTACCATCACACCTTTGTACATGTTCATGAACCTAAATCCATCCCTTAGGTGAAAATGGTGCACCACATTGATCAAGCTAGAGTTCAACGCCTCTGGTCTAATTATACTCTTGTGCCTTTCAGGTGCTAACATCCGGCATGTGTACCCAACTGTTATCCCCTGTTCCGGTACATGTTTTAGCCCCGATGGTCCAAAACTATAGCACGAAACACGAATTTCACCAATATTCCCATACTTACTCAATTTGGTACGAGAATTGACACTAGTGGACCTTAAACTTACATCCTCTAGCACGTCGTGGAACATTAACCCCGATTTCAAGTGGAAGAATTCATCTACATCGATGAACCCGACCCAATCACAAGAATCCCTAGCTCTCAAGGCACAATGCGCAAACCCCCCCTCTTGTGCCTTAATCCATGGCCATACGTGCCTAGAGATGTTGTAATTAGCATCTAATAACGACTCGATTAGGCTGTCAATGTCGTCATCGCTGTTGTTGTCGTAAATGTACCAACGTTGCACCCCAATCCCAGCATGGTACATGACCCATTCCTTCAAAAACCTAGCTTGGTTATATACCATGGTACATATGCACATTTCATGTGGTTTTTGGGTGACCGGGTTACGATTCGGACCTCTTGGACGACCCAGCCGGGCTGCGGAGTGCAGTACTCCCCTGCCTTTGACTCTAATAGAGACCTTGATGGAACCGTTGACCTTCTGTTGACTGTTCAGTACACTGAGAGGGGTTTTGCACCGTACGATCTCCTGGGCTGTTGATATTGCCTGCGATCTGATCAAGGGCTGCGATTTCCTGAAATCCCAGCCGTAGACGCACTCGAATATTGAAGCATTGTAGACTTTTGCTGGCCGTAGATTGAGTCCCTTCACAAACACGATCGTGGTGTTATCACCGTCGATCAAAGCCTCGTAGACAAGAGAGTCCCACATGTGTGTGGGCCCAGGTGGGACCCGGATATTTCCTGATTTCAGAACAAGGGAAACGGTCAAACCACGTGGACCGATGGGACACCGTACGATCTGGTTATCGGGAGACTCCACATCCGTCTGAACCGGCGACAGCCTCAGCTTTGGCTCGGACGAATTGGCGGAGAGGTAGGTGCAACAGAGATCCTCCTTGGTAAATAAACGTGCTGACGGAGGGTAATTTAGGAAAACCAC